CCTTCCTTCCTTCCTTCCTTCCTTCCTTCCTTCCTTCCTTCTTTGTCTCAACAAAATGAGCTTAACTTTAACTTTCTAGGGACTCTCACTCTACACAGTTTTGCTAAAATAATTCAGTGTCTTAGTAACCTCACCTGCAGGCTTACCTAGGAGAACCGGTTTCGTCTAAAGCAGAGAGGAGCCTCCAGACACCTGGCTTAGCTTCCATTCCTTCTCAACACCTTCCCAGGGAGTTTCCTTGATAGGGACAACCGGGGCAAAATAAGAGTTGAACAGGCCCAGCTTCCGTCATCTAATCAGTTAATATTTAGGGGGTGACCAGTGTCGCCCATCCCTCACCCTGCCCTGCCTGCTCTCCTCCAAGCTAAAAGTTATTTATCCCGAGCCATTGCAGTCTCCTTACCCTGGTTTCTAACAGTTTATTCTTAAAATGTGATTTTCAGCCAAGGAACTCAACTCATGCAAAGAACCAAATTCATATTTGGGGACCTCTTTAAAGTTAATATTGGTTAACAGCTGTCCATTGCGTCCCCCAGCCGGGTGACTTGGAGAATTATATAAAACAGCATGTAGATGTACTCGGGCTGATTCTTTGAGCAAGAGGCAGGGAAGGGAATGGCGAGGAGCTCCGGGGGCAGTTAGAAAGCTTCAGCAAGGACATGGGTGGGAAGATCATCTTTGAAGAGTGGGTGGGATCTGAACAGCTAGGTAGATGCGTGGACGGGTGACCCGAGCTGAGAGAGTAGCAGGTGCACGGGCCTGCAAACAAAGAGCCCTTTGGGGAGTGACAGCAGGTAGTTTGAAAGGCCAGGGAAGCCAGATTATGAAGGATTTTTAAATCCAGGCATTAAAACCCAAGCCAGATTAGGAAGGATTTAAAAATCCATACAATTGTATTTTTCAGTGAAACAAGGATATTTCTCCACAAACACAACCTCCTCTAGTTCAGCCTCTCCTAAGAGCCCCCCCATCTCTGGCCCAGCTGGTCCACTCTTTTTATCACATGGCCGTAGAGCTGAGCTTGGGTCAGATGCTTGGGTCACATACTCCAGGGGAAAGTCAGTGACAAGAGTTGCCCTATCCTGTCCCCAGCCCTTCACCGTAGCCTTCGGAGCCTGGGAGGCATTCTAGAATGTACTTCTGCATCTCCATATGGGAGAGAGTGGGAGCCGGTAACAGAAAACAAACAGTAGAACCATTAGGAAATACAAGAGCTGAGGTTAACATTTATCTGAAAAACCCAACAGAGGCTGACAGTCTCTTTAAGAGCTTCCCTTTAAGCTCTTCCGAGGCCACCTTCTAAAAGCCTACGCCTTCGTTTCTCCGTGGTCGGTTTAGTGGCCTGTTCATTGGGAAGGACTTTTGTGTATTTTTATGACAGTAACAAGACAGGTGGCCTAGTCACCCGAGCAAAAGCAGCTCCTCTCTCCTCCCTGTACGGATTCGTGTCTGCACAGCTTTCCCTTCCTACTTTAAGACCAAGAAAGCTTTTTAAATCAGGTAAAAGTCCTAACCGCTGATAGTTAACTTGGAAAAGCGAAAAACACACAGGTTGTTTCGGGGTTTATTGGGGGGTATTTTCCTAATGACAGCCAAATCTCTCTGCAGCATTGAACTAGGAAGGAATTGGTCTGGTGGAGGTTGTTTGCCTGTGAGACACTAGAAAGCCCTTTGCTTATGTGATAAACTGTGGGCAGGTCAGATAGATGCTCTGTATTAACTCAGGTGTCGGCTAGTCTGGGGTTTCTTCTGCCCTGACACTGATTACGTGCCTGTCTGTCTAGCATTTTGTCCACTAACTAGATAACAGCATTGCAAAACCTCATAGAATCCCGACTTTTTGTTTTGTTTTGTTTCAAGTTTCTGTCTTTGTCTTTCTCTACAGATTTCTGTTTCCAGTGTAATCTGTTTCCTTTAGAACCTGGCGGAAAAAGGCAGAGTGGGGTATAAATCATGTAACAAATCGGTAGCCTTTGATTCAAAATAAGTATTCTCCACCCAGGGTTCAGTTGTAGACAGTTTGGTAAACGTGGCTATCGGTAAGGGTATTTTAGTCCTTTGAGTTTTCAAAATTAAGATGTTAGAACTTAGCTATAAAAATTTTTTAGATTCTTCAATTTAAAAAAAAAAAAATTATGAAAAGGTCATTGTCAGGGGCTGATCCTGTACGGCCTCCAGGGAACTGTCCTAAAAAGAATCATGACACAGTGACCCATGTGCAAATACAGGTGGGGCAAAAGTAGGCTTACAGTTGTTCGTATGGAAAATAATATAATAATTAATAATACAAGAATAAACTCTGTGTGTTGTGTGCTCAGAACTGGAAACCTACTTTTGCCCTGCTATTGACTTTGGGCCCAGAATGGGGCCCTTAAGCTCTTTTTACTGTTAGTTGTACCAAAATTTGCCTTTTAGTTGTCTCAGTACAAAACAAATATCTTTATTACATGTTTGGTAAGTCCATATCACACAAAATGTTTTATTGTGTGACTATATTAAGATGTATACATAGGTTTTCCCATCTCTGTTCATCTGTTTTCCTCTATCAGCCCCCAGGTTTACTGTAGGCCTATGTTTCTCTACAGGCTTCCATGAATGAGTGTTTTTTAATTCTCTCCTGGGACAGCAACCTATCAAGCTAAACTTACACCTCACTCCCTTTTTAATGAAGCCCACACCTGGCCAAGTACTAATAGCTTCAAAGGTATTTGCAAAAAAACAAAATATGGAAATAGAACCATGTTAGTAGGTATTACATATACAAAAATGACAGTCGTTTCCACAGTTCAGATAAAAAGTGATGATATCTGAGCTTCAGATTGCTTCCTATTTCATTCTTTCTCCCAGTAGTTTGAACCAAATTACAATAACCTGTAGTTTTAAAGGACATACGTTTATATTGATGTATTTCCCCCCTCCTCTATAATATAAAAATTCACTCTTACGCGTCATCCAGTATGTAGTTCTCTCTATCCCACAAATAGCATTAGAAACATGAAGCACTTTTTAAAAACATATGACTCAGCCTCACAATGAATCTCTATGCACACGCGTCTATACATTTATATTCATAGCGCAAGGGAATGCAGGAGTAAATATAGAATATAGTATAGTCTTCAAGTACAAAAACTAGGTGTGTTTTTTTATTCTAACATTGATTAACCTACTGCCCAGGTTTGGGATGGAGAGACAATCTAATTGCAGCTTCCAGTTCGTTAGCAATTCTCAGCCCTTATCAGAGTCAAAATAGTGACTTTGGATCTTGATGTCCTCATGAAAAAACATACAGCAGTAATAATAATAATAAAAGTAATAAAATAATGAAATAGTAGCCAACATAAACAGTACATAGAATGTTCCAAGCGCTGTCAATATATAATGTAACGTAGGGTGTATTGTTAATATTCTGCCTTTCCTTTTATTTCCCTGCCGTGGAGTAATGAAAGCACTCCCGGGTGAGAAAGTCCTTTGCTAAACTTTGGCATCGCCTGCTGTCACCTGCTGAAAGCCACACCATGACTTCCTTTCCCCAGTTAAAAGAAAGTGGTGCTTGGTGCTCGTTGGCACCACTCAAGTCGGCTAAGGGGCCCTTGTCCGTTTCTGTACAGTGTGTCTAGAAAGCTTGATTTTTTTTATTATTAATCATTTCTTAAACATACTGTCATTTTCCCAAAATGTGGCCATGAGTGATGACCTCTCTCCCAACCCCACCCCACCCCTTAGTAGTCAAATCACCACTATTGCTTCGACTAATTACTAAAATAGCATCTTTCTTTAAAAGCTATTTTTATTTTCTCTTATTATTTTAACCTCTGAGAGGTACAAATTCCATCCAATGCAAGTGGACCATCTATTTTAGACTAGAACATATATAGTAAGAGATGAAACAGAAACTGACAATTTGCTATTCGGATCAGAAATTTTAGATTTCTTACCGCCCTAGAGCACTTATAATTAACAGGGACGGTTTTAGCTTTTTCAAGATTTGCCCTCACAATGAATATGTATTAGGTATTAACACAATATGTGGAATCACAGTATTTGGGATTTTTTCTGGGGTTGGGGTTGGAGGAAATCAGGTAGGAAAAGACAAGGAGATGCCTCAAGTATGAAGTATGGAGCAAAGAGATTTTTATCTTTGGATGTATAATTGGCACCTCTATCTCCATTACTGGGACAGACTCAATCTTGAGTTTCCACCAGTCACACCATCTAAAAGGAATTTAATTAAATCAATCACACCCCGCATCTCTCAGTATTTATGGAGGCAGCGCCAATTCCAGCCACCCAGCGAGAATGCAGTCACATTGCCGTCTTTCCGAGCAGCTTACCGAGCCTTGTACCGTGTTCTCGCCCAGTTGCTCACCCGGGTGTCGCGTCCCCGCTGCGCCTCGATGAACGTTTATAGACATGTTTGACGAGCTGCTCATCTGTGCTGTGAACCCATCCGTCTGTTTGCGGGGGGCAGGGGGCAGGAGGGGGCCTCATCTTGTTCGCTGTGTGGCTGGGAGGGAAGCTGGTCGTGGAGTTTTGAACTGAGACGTACCCAAAGGGTTCTGTGTTCACCCTGGCGCAAAACTAAGCCGTAATGAATAGATGTTACCTAGCAGCAGGTTTTCGGTGATCACGCTGGGGTTTTTTATTCTTGTTTATGTTTTTTCTCAGGGGAAATCTCTCACGTCCAAGAGGTTAACAAGCCTTGTTCAGTCTTACTGAAGGACCCTTCCGTAGCATGGGAGCAGACTGAGTCGTTGCTTATACTTTTAGCTCTTCGTTGTTACCCGGAGCAGAGGACTTTAGAACAAGATGTTGCATGAGCGAAGGACCTGAGTTATTCTTCCTTTGTGTGCCATCTCCAAGGGACTCTACCATCTCAATGCCTCCATTTCGAAATGTTGTCTGCTTACTTCCTCCGCGTACTAAGCCGGATCTGTGTCTCTTCCTTTTTATCAAGTCCAAGTGAAGTAGACTTTTTATTTCCCCCCCTTTCTCTCTCTCTCTCTCTCTCTTAGAGCTTCTGCTAGACACACTGAACATTCAGCCAGTCACAAACTGGAGGAATTGTAAAAGAAAAAAAAAAACAGCATATATCAATAAGTATGCATATGGCTTCACATTTATTAAACAATAAATTAGCACAGAAAGTTTCATTTCACCTAAGTACTCACAGAAACGAGCTCATATCTTTTGTCTGTTGTCTGGACATTCTGTTAATGTTTCTTGCATTTATTTTTATACCGTATTTAAATAAGAAATACCTTTTACTCCAAATGGATTAAAGTTAATTCCTTCTCTGTAAATTTGNTTTATACCGTATTTAAATAAGAAATACCTTTTACTCCAAATGGATTAAAGTTGATTCCTTCTCTGTAAATTTGTGTATGTTTATATTGTTGTTTTATCTTTCATTAAAAGATGCAGAATCTCATTGCTTTTGTACTTTTGACTTTGTGGTAAGTGACAATGGAAATGCTCAGAGATCATCAGCAAACATGGAGTTGCAATTTAAACAATCACTCTGGAAGTTTATTTCAGGGTTTCAAGACCAGCTTGGATGGGACAGAACCAGGAACAGCCTGAAAGTGCTCAGTTTGGGGGCCACCCCGGGACCAGGTAGAGCCTTTTCTCCCATGAAAAAACAACACAAATTGGACTTCCACCTTTTCAGAGCTATTTGCAGGTCTTTCTGCCTCGTTATGAATATGCATCTCTATCTTTTGCTAATGAATATTCTATTGGAATTGGGTTTGAGTATGATTTCCCAACTCAGGAGCTGATTTTTTTTAAGTATAATTCTAAAAATGCCTTAGGCCGATGGCTCTTAACTCTTCGGTGGTTGAAAATTCCTTTGAGAACATGACGGTAATTACGAAATATAGTGGGTGCTTCCTAAGTGCCTGCCACTGTATTATGGTCTTCAAGGGCCATAAAATCTTCACATGCAATCCTCGCAGCTGCCCTATAAGATCATTTCTGCAAATACTGAAGCAGAGAGAAGTTAAGTCACTCGTGCAAAGTCACACAGCCAAGTGAGTGCTGGGTTGGGGTATAAATCCTACCCATGCTGATCCACTTATACCACAACTTCTTTTGGTAAAAGTTAAGTGAAAATCCATATGCACTGTTACATTGGAAACATTTGCACTGAATTTGAGGACATTCACAGAATACCCTCCGAGACTCCTCCAGGGACCCCAGGTAAGAAACCTGACTCCCTTCAAGGGTTGGATCAGTGACACGAAAGGTTTTCCCCCCGGGATATGGGTCTTACCTGTTTGCTTTTGTATCCACCAAGGCATTGCACACTCTGGTTATATGTTTTTAAAAAAGAGGTCTAGTTATTAATGTCTATCAATGACTGTAGGTAAGTTTAAATTCTTAAAAAGTTTATCAGCATTGGTGAGAAATCAGTAGTGGAGTCTGCTAGCTAATTTATAAAACTGCCACAAAATGGGAGAAACTTTATAGGAGAAATTTGTATAGAGGCTATAGTTTGAACACTGTGAATAGTTTAAGAAAGATTTAATTACATGTGCATATGGATGTTTAAAAGGAATACGTAAAGTGCAAATAAATCAAAGTTTATAGATGTTCTGAACCCCTGAAGAATGTTTAATTCAGGGCAGCCGTGGGCGGCTGGCATGGAAGCTAGAAGGAAACCCAAGCTAACAGAAACATTACTTGAAAGAAAGCAGTAACCCTATTTGAAGACAATCATGCATAAACAATGGCCCTTGCACAAATATGATTGGTTATTTTGGAGACTATCTTTCACAAATTGTCAGTCCTTAAAAGCCCATCCTCACAGACAATTTCAAATCATGGATTTATAAAGAAATGAGGGCAATTGATGGCAAAGAAGAGAAACCCCCAGGCAAGTGTCCCCAAGTCAGGTGTGTGACATCACTAATCACTAGGGAAGTGAAAATCAAAACCACAGTGAGCTGCCAGCTCACCACTGTTAGAATGGCTGCTGTCAAAAGGACAGGAGAGTCCAGCCAGCGTGGCTCAGGGGTTGAGCGTCGACCTATGAACCAGGAGATCACGGTTCGATTCCCGGTCAGGGCACAGGCCCGGGTTGTGGGCTCGATCCCCAGCAGGGGGCGAGCAGGAGGCAGCCGACCAATGACTCTCATCATTGATGTTTCTCTCTCCCTCTCCCTTCCTCTCTCTGAAATTAATAAAAAACATTTTTTAAAAAAAGACAAGAGATAATAACTGCTGGAGAGGAGGCAAATAAAGGGGCACCCTCTGCACTGTTGATGGGATTGTAAGTTGGTGCAGCCACTATGTAAAACAGTATGAAGTTTACAAAAAAAAAAAATAGAATTGCCCTATGATACAGCAATTCCACTCCTGGGAATATACCCAAAGAAAATAAAAACATCATGCCCACAGACTAGCCTAAGACTTCAGCCATGTTCTCCATTCTGTCATTCCTGTGAAAATAGAGTTTTTAAGGGTTCTTCCTGGTGAATGTATTAGTCACTAATCCTAATCCTTAATAGAAAGTGTTAGCTTCCTATTTGCATATACATTTTTTGCATTTATTTTTTTTAAGTCTGGACAGGAGGGTGAGTCTTGTGATGAGATGGCTGTGGGAGTTTTCTTAAGCTGAAAAATTCAATTACTAATATTTCTTTGAATCAGTCGCATAAGTTTTAATTCTACAGCGACTGAATGTTAGGCGCATCACCAGGCTCCGAACTTGTGATACCCTCATGTGAGGTCACAAAAGAAAACTTTGGACCCAGCAGTTTAAGACAGAATTTTCACTTCTTTAAATCATAAGGTTTGTCCACTTGTACTTGATTCACTTCAGAACCTTGAAAGGGACCAAAGTTTTACCACCCCGAAGTATGCCTTTTGGGATGTTAATATTAGGAAGCAAAAGACTCAGAAAGAAACTTTGACCATCCCCCCTACTGCCTAAAGGAATTATGATAGAAGAACCCGCTTCAGGAAAGAAATCTTAACATAGTCACCTTAGCACTGTAAACCAAAATTAATTTTAGAATGTAATGAAAAATAAAAAGCATTTATTTGAGCCAAAGGAGCTGCAGCTCGGGAGACACAGATTCAGGTGACAACCTGAATTGTGTTCTGCCGAGACAAAGGGGAGGCCAGCTTTTATAGCAAAAGTTCCTGCTCAGGTTCCCAATTAGGTCCATTTTCTGTAAATGAGGAATCCAGATGCGTGCACTTCTGATTGGTCCATATGGGTCCTGACTGGTTGGCATCATGGGTCCTGACTGGTCATTATGGATCAGTCCTGATTAGATGGAACAGGTCCTAGCCCATTAGCCAAAGACTAACCCAGGAACTGCCCAGTGTGTCTTCAGGTCTCACACTCGTATGGCACCTGAATGAAGTCTGTCTAAATACAACACAGACAGAATACGTATTTCTCTCCCCTATAGATTTAGTATTAGTAAGACCTGCCTAAGGAGTCCATAAGATCGATACTTGCCAGCACCTAATTCTCCCAACCAGCACCGTGTCTTCTAGTTGGTTCAAATATTAGTCGATTCATGGGCTTATATCCGGGCTCTCGATTCTGTTCCATTGGTCTGTGTGTCTGTTTTTATGGATGCTTGTCTTTCCTTGATCTGACCAGAAGGTGTCAGTGGAAATTGTTTTTTCAGACAGTTATCAAGTCCCTTAATTCTTCCTCAAATGGTCCTTAAATGGTCTGTCGGCAGAAGCACTGAAGCCTGCAGTTGTCCAGTCCTGCGCAAGCAGTAGCAACCGAGGGCTGCACACAGCGACAGTGACAGTTAAGGCAGGAGATAGCGACTGCATGTGACTGCTCATTACAAGATGCATCGTAACTCCAGGGAAGTGAAATGTGCAGGGAAACGCATGTCTTAGAGTCCTGGGGCCTGGTGCTCGCCATTAGTGTCATCTTGGGCAACGGAGCCAAAATGCTTAAAGCCCAGGGTTTGGAGCAAGAAGAGAGAGAGCCGCGCTCTAACTCGGATGCTGCGGCTCATTAGCTGCGGGGCCTTCAGCGAGGTATTTCATCTTCTACAAATTCAATTTCCCCATCTGAAAAATGAAGGTAATGAAAATGTCTAGTTATTGGAGATGTCGTGAGGAATTAATTCATACACCTAATGGAAGGTCAGCAAATATTAGGCATGATGATTATTAATAGCTTTGAACCCGAGCTTCCTCATTTGTATTACAGGTAGAGTAATGAAATCATTTATCCTACTCTGTCCTCGGATTTACTCAGTGAGTGTCAAGTCAGTTAACATGTCGTGTGTGTGCCAAGACCTCTGCTCCCAGCTTCACGTGCGTTAACACATGTAATGTTTGCTGCCACCCTATGAGGTAGCCCTTAGTTGTGCCTGCATTTTTTTTAATACTTTTTTTTAATTGATTTCAGAGAGAGAAGAAGGGAGAGGGAGGGAGAGTTAGAAACCTCAATGATGAGAGAAAATCATCGATCAGCTGCCTCCTGCACCCCCCTGCTGGGGATCGAGCCCACAACCCCCGCATGTGCCCTGACCGGGAATCGAACCCCGATCTCCTGGTTCATAGGTCGATGCTCAACCACTGAGCCACGCCAGCCAGGCAGTTAACATTTTTGAAATCACTGCACTAAGCCAATATGTAATATTTCATTGAATTACTATGCTTTTTATCTCTGTGTCCATTGTTTTATCTATTATTACAAAAATTGACTGTGACTCACTGGCAAGGGGAAAAAAAAACAAATTTTTTTACATAGATGAGATTCCTTTGGTCCTTTCCAACCCCCCCCAAAAAAAAGTTGAATAATAAAGTATCTAAGCAGAACATTGTACCAGAACAAACAATTTCAGCTTTAAAGGTACATCCTAATCTCATCCACTTGCTCGTTAGAATGTAGACTATTGAAAATTTAGAAATAGGAATGCTTCCTGTCTCTTTTTACACTCTACTAGTGTCAGGAGAGTTTGATTAAAACATTGTTAGAAATGGGCAATTATTTTACTATCATTACTTATCCATTTTAATGGTGTATCTCTTTCCAAGATGATATAGACTCTTTAGATTTTCACTTTTGAATCCGATGGAGGAAATGCAATTTAAAGATACTTTGACAATTAAATATAATTTCTATTCATTTTGACAGCCAGGAAATTTGGAACACTGAAGAGAACTGGGAGAGAAAATATCCCCATTATGCCAGCTGAAAGTTAGGG